AGAGGACAATTCACACACTGAACAACAAGCTAAAGACTAAAAACTTGGCAGGCAATCAGAATTAGAAAAAAACTAAGGATGATTTTTTATAACTAAGAAATAATTCTGCGTCTACTCTGATTCTACATTTTTCCAGAGCAGCAGCAATCTCTACAATTCTGTCTCACAGTCCAGTCAATGAGATTTTCTTTCAGCCAGTTGGCCATGTAACTCATTAATATTAGTGGGTATTTAATGCACCCGAAGGTCCCCTTATAAACAGTTTCACATCAAATATACACTCACAACACAGATCTCAAAGTCACCTCGCTGATAAAGGTTTTGAGTTTGAGGTAGATAAGAAGTCTATTTTAAATAATTTAGACCAAGTTTAGACAGAATTAGATAAAGTTTATCCCAATCATATAAATTCCATTATGTGGCACTTCATTAACTTAAGTTTACTCTTACTTGAAATGTCCATTTTCCAATAATAATTATAATAATTATAATGGATGGTAATGAAGAATTACATGATTACAAATTGCCTTCCAAAATCACCTAAGAGGCTGGGCACAATGGCTCACACCTGTAATCCCAGCACTTTTGGAGGCGAAGACTGGTGGATCACCTGAGGTCAGGAGTTTAAGATCTGCCTGACCAACATGGTGAAGCCCTGTCTATGCTAAAATACGAGGTTAGCCAGGTGTGGTGACTGGTGCCTGTGTAATCCCAGCTACTCGGGAGGCTGAGGTAGGAGAATTGCTTGAACCCAGGAGGTGGAGGCTGCAGTGAGCCAAGATCATGCCACTGCACTCCAGCCTGGCAACAGAGCGAGACTCCATCTCGAAACAAACAAGAAAACAAAATCACCTAAGAGGAAATTGTCTCTGGGCCTCAGTTTCCTTTTTCATAAAATGAGGGGGTTAAATCAAAAGGTCACCAAATTGAATATACTATAATACTTTATGACAGTAAGATGTCTAATTAAATTTATATTTAAATTATAGAGTTTTACAATTTGGCAGTTCCTCAAAAACTAAATGAAAAATTACCATATGACCCAGTAATCCCACTTCTAGTTACTTTACCCAAAAAGATTGAAGGAAGAAACTCAAACAGACAGTTATACCCCAGTGTTCACAGCATCATTACTTACAGTAGCCAAAAGGTGGAAACAACTGATATGTTCACCAACAGATGAATAAGCAAAATGAGGTAAAAACATATAGTGGAATATTATTCAGCCTTAAAAAATGAAGTTCTCATACTTGCTATAACAGGAAAGGAACTGTGAAACATACTTATTAAGTAACATAAGACAAATACAAAAGGACAGATACTGTATAATGCCACTTATATGAAATATCTAGGATAAGCAAATAAGAGAAAGTAGATTAGAGGTTTCTAGGGGTTGCAGGGAGGAGGAATAAGAACTTATTGGCTAACAGCTACAGAATTTGGGGTAATGAAAGAGCTTTAGAAGCAGACAGTGGTGATGGCTGCACAACTGTATGAATGTAATTAATATCACTGAATTGTACATCTAAAATGGTTTAAAAGGCAACTTTTATGTTATATATACATTTAATAACAGAAAGAAAATTATAGAATCTTAACATTTGTACAGATGAAGAAGGTTAGCCACAGTCTATATGGTCCTACACAAGTCTCAATCTCCCATTTTCAGTTTCTTCATCTATAAAATAAGAGTAACAAAATGAATTGTCAATGCCTGGGATCCATAGTGGGGCATCTGCCTAGGACTTGTGATAAAAAGATAAATTCCATGTATGAATAAAACTATTTGATCGATTTGTAACAGAGTAAAGGAGAAATATGTAACATCACCTAAAAAAGACTGGCTCAGAGGCCTGCCCAACTTCATTGTGGCCAGACTGAACATATTATCACATGCAATGAGGGATTAAGCCATTCACAAGTAGGTCTGAATACTGCTGAAAACTTGAAAAGCCAACCACTATCTGGGGAAAGAGTGAAAATCTTGACCAATGATTTTTCACGTCTACCTTGCCCCACATAAAGATGGCTGTTGACAGTCAACTTCAAGTGTGTTAATCTCACTGACAACAAGACAATCAATAATATCTATTTCAGTACGATGATATTTCCTGAAGAACAGTATGATTATCTCATTGGGAAAAAATATGTACAGGAGAAGAACACTGAGAATACTTTAAAGGTGCTACTTTCAAGTTATTTTTATTGCCAACTACTGCTAAAATTTTGAACAATGAGACACAGGAAGCACTCATAGGAAAAGTTTTACAAGTATTAATTCACATAATACTCATCACAGCCTCATGGTATAGAGACGCTTGTTATCCCCATTTGACAAATGAGAAAATTCAGATGCAGAAATATTAAGGACCTTGCCATGGTCACACAGCCTACCAGTGGTGGGGCCCGCAATTGCACTCAGGCTAGTAGCTAACATTTTAAAATAAACCAAAACTTCATATTCATCAGTGAGAAACAACCCACAGAAAGTTGTCATTCTTGGTAATATTAGAATATTCTAATTACAAAAAAGACATTTACACTAACCAGTAAGTTACCCAAAATGTAAACCATTAGGAATAAGGCCTTCTGCTGACATATGGGGCAGTGGAGTTAGCTGGGGAGGAAAGGGGCAGTTATGGGAGAGGAGAAGTGTTGATGGAGGCATGAGAATACTGTAAATAGACTGACCGCCAGGGACTGAGTCGGACTGATGTGGTTGACAGGTCACATCTCACCATTTAAGCAGCAGCCTGAAGATCCAACCTAACTCTTTAGACTTTCTCCAGGTAAACACCCTCAAAAATCATGGTACTTGCTACCAGCCAGTCATTCACAGGGTGAATACTGGCAATGTCCCTGTTCTAATTATAATTGATTTTTATAGCAGAGGATATTGGGATAAAGGGGGAAACGGCAGGGAAGATGGTTGACGCTCTTATCTTTAGCTATCACATCTGGTGTTATAATGCTCAATCTAATCAGCCCATGTGGATGGATTAGAGACAGTCAATATTGACGGCTCCCATCATTAACTTTTCATAGGACTGAAGCATCAGATTACATCAGCATCCATTAAACCTAAAATCCGTCCGACTCCCTGGTTCTGATTCCATGTTCAACATTATAATTTACTATCTCCTACTTTCCATCTGGACATAGAGCAAATATGTATCTACTATTTGGAATTCAAACAACATAATCCACGACTTTTTTTTTTTTTTTTTTTGAGACAGAGTCTTGCTCTGTTGCCAGGCCGGAGTCCAGTGCTCTGATCCTCGGCTCACTGCAACCTCTGCCTCCCAGTTTCAAGCAATTCTCTGCCTCAGCCGCTCGAGTAGCTGGGATTACAGGCACATGCCACCACACCTGACTAATTTTTTTATTTTTAGTAGAGATGGGATTTCACCATCTTGGCCAGGCTGGACTTGAACTCCTGGCCTCGTGATTCACCTACCTCAACCTCCCAAAGTGCTGGGATTACAGGCATGAGCCACTGCACCTAGCCCCAAGAGTTTTTTTTTTTTTGTTTTTTTTTTGTTTTTTTTTGTTTTTGGTAAATTTAGCTTAATATATCAGCCTTATGAGTTTAGTTACGTGATCCACCCATGAAATGAATCTGGTTTTGGCTGCTGGGTTTTTTAAAAAGTCAGTGTTCTTCTATAAGACCAAGCCAGATCTAGGTCTAAGGTTGTGATTAATAACCTATGAATCCCCAGCAAGCCCTACTCTGCCCCTCTTTATGCTCTGCATGTTTTTTTCTTTTTCCCTCTAAGCATTATTTTTCAGGGTAGTTATAAAAATTAAATGAGATAAAGATAATTGTGCTCACCAAACTTATTGGCAGATGACAAATAGACATTCATTGTACCCCCACCCTCACCTCTAGACTTTATTAATCCATATTTAAAAGTTAGTAATTAGAAAACTTTATGTTCATGTTAGATTCACATTTAGCATACTCGATGAGGCTATACCAGTCCAATGAGTTCTGGGAGAAATGCTATTTTTCCTACTCCTGAGATGCTAAGAAATAGACCATTTACCTCAAAAATAGATTAGGGTATGACAAGAGGAAAAGGGCTGCGAAAAAAGACCTGTCAACAGCCAAATGAAGTAAATATGTAATACTTATAACTAAAAAGAAAAGCTATGTAAGGGCTGGGAGCAGTGGCTCACACCTGTAGTCCCAGCACTTTGGGAAGCCATGGCGGGCAGATCATGAGGTCAGGAGATCAAGACCATCTTGGTCAACATGGTGAAACCCCGTCTGTACTAAAAATACAAAAATTAGCCTGGCTTGGTGGTATGCGCCTGTAGTCCCAGCTACTTGGAAGGCTGAGACAGGAGAATCGCTTGAACCAGGGAGTCAGAGGTTGCAGTGAGCCGAGATCATGCCACTGCGCTCCAGCCCAGTGACAGAGCAAGATTCTGTCTAAAATAAAACAAAACAAACAAAAAACCCATATAAGTTACCCAAAGTCCAAAGTCAGACAGAAAATCAGTCCAATATGTTGTAAACTGCACAACAATGATGCATATCCACACTGATTTACTACCATGATTACAAAAGTAATATCAAAAAAAAAACAAGTGCTGAGTATTTTGAGGAGCAGTAAAAATGTTTGGGATGGTTAATGTTTCAAAGTGATCGTCAAGAGTCGAAAATTGGGGTAAAACCCATTTTGAGAGTCACTTTCTTTTGTATTACTGTGATTATAAAGCCATCCAAATTTTGCAAAACCTTTCTTACATGAGCCAAATTCAAAATACAAAATAAACAACCTACGGAAAGTTAGGTTTCCTGCTAGTCTGCATTTTTTTCTGGTGATAGCTGAGAGGCTTGAAATTTTATGTCACAATTACAGTATTCTCCTTTTGGGGTTCCCTTGTGGCTTTGTTGACAGCCCTCAGCTGCCTTAATCTCCCATGTGAGTTAATGTAAAAATGACACATGTAAAACCACATTCACCATCAGGAAAAAAAAGAAGAGTTCATACCTCTTTCAAATTTTAAGCGCTGATAAAGCTGGAACTGGTCCACAGGTACCAAACAGGCAATCTGAAAGCAGAGACATGAAAGGTTGAGACTTCAGTCATCATAGGGCCCTCAGTTACCAGACTTTTGTGATTTCTCTTTTTGGCTTTGCTTATTGTACTTTCTCTACACCAGCTGTTTGCAAACCTCTTTTTCCCTACACTGGCCATGCGGTCAAACACATGCAACAGTTTTCAAGTCATCCCCACTCCTCCACCATTGCTGGGAATCACTGCTCCAGGGAGCAGTTACAAAACTCATTAACCACCTTCTATTCTCCAGTCTGTGGCTATCAAGACCAGACAACAAAATTTTGCTACATGGACTTCTAAAAATTATTGATGTTCATATCTTAAAGATGCTTCGTTTCTCTATATCTTCATTTAAGAATTTTTTTTTAATTACAGCTCTAGCTTTGGAATCCTTAAACACTAAAGTCAGGTAGATAGCATCTCTGGAATTATGCAAACGTCATTTGTTGCCTAGGAAAGAGTACCTTTTAAACAATAAAAAAATCATTTCTTCTGACAAGAGTCACTTCCTGGAGTTATCGAACACTGACATCCCAGACCCTAGTAGAAAAGAAATGCCTAAAATACGTCTTGCAACTAGACTCTTATTTCCATTTCAGATAGCAGCATAAGCCAAATAGTTACTAGTCAACAACAGCGATTCACACTTAACTGAATGACATTTCAAATTAATCATTTTTAAAGGCAGATGCAGGAAAAGCCAACTGCTCTTAAACTGGAATTCTAAAACTATTAATTCCATTGACGTCAAATGTAAATATATGGACATAGCTTAAAGATTTATAAATGAGAAAATCAAAGCATTTAATATTAGCCTTCCAGACATCCAGTAAGTTGATACAGGACACAGTTTTAACCCTGACAATTTCAACTCCAAACTATCACCTTTTTTGGCACAAAATACACCTACATTGATGTTCTTGCAACTAAGGGCATCTGCTTTGAGAAAACTGGAGTAAGAAAATGATGCAGGTAAAATTGTATTTAACAAATATTACAACTTTTATAATGCATTCAAAATCTAATCATCTCCCTTATAAATAATGTCAAGTTGTTTATTTTGCAAATGAATCTAAGTTAGCTAGAATGTATAAAGGACCATAAAACAAGTTTGGTCTTCCTCGTTCCAAATAAAGTATGGTAAAACATAACTAATTATAAAAACTTTTTTACCCAAATTTGTTTCTCCAGTTGGGGAGAAAATGTTGCAATTTCTTGTGGTACCTTAAATTACAGCTCCTTAGTAAAAAAAAATTACGCTCAATATCATGTTATATGTATTTTACCATAGTTCTTTCAACAGTATGGTTGGACTTTTATTACACTGAAAGCCAGCTTTATTCATCTGTTATAATGCTACCCAGACATCTTTCCTGAAAGAAAAAGATGTCTCAAATAAAATTCAGAGTTGGCATAAGTGGGAGTTGAACAACGAGAACACACGGACACAGAGGAACATCACACCTAGGGCCTGTCGGGGCGTGGGGGTGCAGGGGAGGGACAGCATTAGGAGAAATACCTAATGTAGATGATGGGTTGATGGGTGCAGCAAAGCACCATGGCACATGTATACCTATGTAACAAATGTGTACATTCTACACATGTACCCCAGATCTTAAAATATAATAAAAAACATTCAGAGCTGGAGACAGTAGGTACAGGCAAATGAAGTGATTGGAGGCACTAATTAAACCAAAGTTCAGTTCCTGACTTTGTCGCTAACTCATCATGAGTGGAGAACAAACAAATGCTACATCAACTTATGGACCAACATGACTTGGGATGATACCATCTGGGTCCAAGAGACCTCAATAATATTCTATGAATCTTTTTTTAATCACCCACCCTCTTTGATTCTAGAAGACAGTCCTGTACCCCACTCACCCCCATCTAAAATAGTTTGTGGACAGATAATCTCCTTTTAAATCCTTCAAAGTCAACCCCTAAAAATTCTGATTTTTTTTTCAATGAGAAATTTATATAAAAGTCAAATACAGTTTATGGAAGACAAGCAAGGAGGAGATAAGATGTTTTAGATACAGATGAAATGCTAATGTGAAAAACAACAGAAATCAATGCAGTGAAAAGTAAACAGCTATAGAGATGGAAGTTTAATTTTAAATTAAAAAATAAATTTCATTAAAGTACACACTACTGCCAACGGGGAAGTCACAGATCTCTAATTTTTTTGTCTTTTACGCTACTTTGGATTTCTCATTTAAGTCAAAGGCTTGCATGGAATTAAGACTTAATAAGGTGAATCAATTTTTTATTGAAAGTTGTAATCACAAGAAGTTAATTACATTGCTTCTCATTCTGTTTGGTCCTTTTGGAATGAAGACATCCACGGAATGCACCTTTCTCTTCCCCAGCTCCCCTCATTCAGACTTGCATCTTTTCTGTTAGTACTGTTTTGTAAGAGATGAGGTCTCACTTTGTCAACCCACGCTGGAGTGCAGTGGCACAATCATAGCGCACAGTAGCCTCCAACTTCCTCCTCAAGCAATCCTCCCTCCTCAGCCTCCCACGTAGCTGAGACTGCAGGTGTGCACCATCATGAATTGTATCATTATTATCATCATTAATTATATCATTATTATCATCATTAATTTTCTAGAGGCAGGGTCTCCCTATGTTGCCCAGGCTGGTCTCAAATACCCAGCTTCAAGTGATCTTCCTGCCTTGGCTTCCCAAAGTGCTGGGATTACAGACATGAGCCACTGCAGCCAGTCAAATTTTTTGTAAGTACTTGTTGACAGCTTACCACGAGGAAAGCTTTGGTCTGGAAGCCTGGCATACAATGAAGCAGGACATACAGAAGCTACACTCAAAAGGATGAAATTACTCAGAAAGCAATAAACATAAGATTTACAAAAGATCTACCCCTTGACTTTGTCTGCTGGATTTTGCAGATAAGAACTAATTTTCTGAAATATTTCTATTATACTTTTGACTTTAGATGAGAGCTAATGAAAAAAAAAAAAAATGATACAAAATGTGAAATTCCTGGTTCCACTGTCATTTGGAGCTAAGTCGCTATTGCTCAAGACCTCCATTTTTACAACTGTAAAATTGAATTATTAATATGTATGTTAGAACGATTATTAGAAGACTAAATCAGGCTGCAGGTCAAAGGGCTACAATCAATTTTTTGAGGATATTCACAAGTACTCTAAAATTGACTGCTACACCTAATAATCCTAGAGAATAAAACAGATTATAAAGAGGTACCTTGCAGTTACATTCATCCTCTTTCTGCCAACCAAGAATTTCTGAATCATTCAAAATCACACCAGAACTTTATATAAAAAGTTGCAAAATTTGTATAGAGAGTTCCCAAATGCCTTTCCCCCAACTTCCTCTAATGATAACACTTTCTAAATTTAGTTCCCAAATGCCATTCCAAATTCCCCTAATGATAATCATAGTCAATATCGAAATAATGAAATTTATATTTTGATACAAGTGAATTAAAGAATCTCCAGGCCTTATTCAAATTTCACTAACTGTCCCACTAGGATCTTTTTTTGCAGTCTAAGATCCAATCCAGGTTACCACCTTGCACCTAGTTGTGGTATCTCCTTAACCTTTCCATCTGTGACCGTTCCTCAATTTATCTTTGCCTTTCGTGATGTTGATGAGTTTGAAGAGGCCAGGTCCTTTATTTGTACAATGTTCCCCTAACTTGGATTTTTCTGATGCTTTCTCACAATTAGATTGAGGTTTGCATTTTTGGCAAGGATATCACAGATGTGTCTTTGGGGCCATCTGGAGCTACATGAAGACATGTCTCATTATTGGTGATGTTAACTTTTTAATGTGGTTAAGGTGGTATCTGCCAGCTTCTCCATCATTCGTAACTAACAAGTCTTTTATAAGGAGATACTTTGAAACTACGCAAAAATCCTGTTTCTAATCAAACCTTTCCCCACTAATTTTTGCATCCACTGATAATTCTTGCCAAAAATAATTATTACTGTAATATTTGCTTAGTGACTTTTCTATTTCCATCATTCATTTTGTACTTGGTGATTAAAATTCCACTGTAAGAAAAAGCTGTTCCTTCTCTATCCATTTTTTAAATTTCGGTTAGCATAGACTACAGACATTTATTTTATTCTGTAGGTTCTAATTCATTACTAACCAAATCCATATTCTACCAATAAAAGCAAAGCTCTCTAATTATATTCTCAGCTATCAAGAGACCACTACCCTCAGATCAACTGCTTAACAGTGTTTAGTTTGATTTCAAGTTAATTTTTGCTACTTCTCCCTTGAAAGCTGTGCTAATTTATTTACTATTAAATTTCTCTCTCCTCCTATCTAAACACAAAAGACAACTTTTGCTCCTTATTGTCATTCTAGAAACTCTTTCCAAAGAGGAAAACAAAACCCAAATTTTAATTCAAAGAGAAAACAAATTCAGTTTCATATTAATAGAATAAGAGCAATAATATCCCCAACAAAAAGCTACTAATTGTCCAGAATCACTATTTTGTTTTGTTTCATTTCTGATAAAAATGAACCTTAGAATCCTTATTAAATGCTCAGTTCCAGCCAGGCAAGGTGGCTCATGCCTGTAATCTCAGTGCTTTGGGAGGCTGAGGTAGGTGGATGACTTGAGGTTAGGAGTTTGAGACCAGCTTGGCCAACATGGTCAAACCCTGTCTCTACCAAAAATACAAAAATTAGCCGGGCGTGGTGGTAGGTGCCTGTAATCCTAGCTACCCGGGAGGCTGAGGCAGGAGAATCGCTGGAACCTAGGAAGTACAAGCTGCAGTGAGCTGAGAAAAGGCCATTGCACTCCAGCCTAGGTGACAGAGCAAGATGCTGTCTTAGCAACAACAACAAAATAGTTCCTACTCAGCTGAATGTCTTTGCTTTTCCATTCCATCCCTAGCAGAGCATATCCAGGGAAGCTAGAGCACACCTACACTTGGGAGTGCTGTAACAGTTACACCTACAGTGAATTAATCTAACATCCACAATCAA